CCCCCCCCCCCCCCCACCACACACACATGTACACTCACATTCACACTTCGTTGCTACTTTTATCCTTTGCTACATTCATTCTGTTAACATTTTTTTTCATTTTTTTAATGATTTCTAGCTGTAACGAATATCAATCTGTGCTAAAAGCACACAAACCAAATTAAAACTTGCCATCATTTGGAGGTTATGACTGATGCAATACCATGCAGATCAAGTGGTTAATATTCATAATGAATACCATACTGTTATGTTTATTGCCATAATATAAGGCTCCTGTGAAGTAATTGTTTCGATATTTTAAAAGATTTGAAAGGACGTAGGGAGTAGGTGTGAGATAAAACCACATTTGTTGTCAGTATATAACAAAAACAATGGTTAAATGTTCTAGACTTATTCAGTGTGATGATACATAAAAATAGATGAAAATATATACATAAAATATAAACATATTTATGATTGCTGTCGTTTTTGTCTGACTAAAAAATTAGTCATCATTTAAGGCATACCTGTGGAATAAGTTCACTTCATTTAACACGATTTCCAAGAACAGAGGACAATTGATGGACCAATCATATAAATGGAATGAAGAATGAACGGAAGGGAGACGTGAGTGGTGCGAGAAGGAGAACAAAGATGGTTGGAAGAGGTGCAGTTTCTGATTTAAATTACGTGCGTCCAACCAGGGAATTATATCGGATATAATTCCAGGGAATTATATCGGATATAATTCCCTGGTCCAACTTCGTTTGTTAGAAATCCGGACATTTCAACCAGAACTTTCCCTCTATCAATACGCACTGCTTTGCCCCCATTCGAATCTAACCACCTAATGGGAACAAAAGCCAGTGAAAAAATGTTAACAAATGCACTTTGCTGCACGTTTCTATATAGGCTGGCATCAAACAATTATGAAACGATTTTCAAAGAGCAAGTAATAGCATAAGGTTGCATTCATACTGACTGAAGAATGAACGGAAGGGAGACGTGAGTGGTGCGAGAAGGAGAACAAGATGGTTGGAAGAGGTGCAGTTTCTGATTTAAATTACGTGCGTCCAACCAGGGAATTATATCGGATATAATTCCAGGGAATTATATCGGATATAATTCCCTGGTCCAACTTCGTTTGTTAGAAATCCGGACATTTCACCCAGAACTTTCCCTCTATCAATACGCACTGCTTTGCCCCCATTCGAATCTAACCACCTAATGGGAACAAAAGCCAGTGAAAAAATGTTAACAAATGCACTTTGCTGCACGTTTCTATATAGGCTGGCATCAAACAATTATGAAACGATTTTCAAAGAGCAAGTAATAGCATAAGGTTGCATTCATACTGACAGGCGCGGTGCAATATAAATAATGGCTGTGAGTCAAGGAGACGAAGGGGACGTGGACTTTGCCCCAGTCATCTTCGTTCGGTCCCAGTTATTGGTCCTTGTTATTTATGTTTACCTGTTTGTTTACATCTTTTTATGTGCGTGCTTTTTGACACGCCTTAACTAGTTTACAAAGCTTTCTTTGCCATGACGACGTAAATGACTTTTTACAAAGTCCAAGGTAAACATTTTCTACGTGTGACATTGAGCGTACATATTGTGAGGAAACCTTAGTTTGACTGATTTTTTTTTCAAAAATGAGATAAAACATGTGACTGCATTTCATTGCCAAGGGATAATTACTCTTTAACGACAAACTAAATGAACAGGAAAAAATCGAGCGTCGCATGCCAAGAGCATGCTTTGTATATATCATACGTTGTCATTGTGCAAATGATTAATTTAGCGTGTTGACCAAATATGGCATTATGAGCCATGGGTCTAGAAACATCACGGTAAATATTTACGTATCTATTCATACTTTTTACTTATAATGTGCTTTATAACACGCGTCTAAACCTCTTCCGACTGGTTTTACGTGTAAACGTAAACATTTGTTTTAGGACGTTCCGTATGTTCTAGGATATACCCGACCTTCAACGAAGTGACATCATTTCGCATTTTTGTTGAGCATATACTTTTTTGCCACATAAACTGAAACCGATTAAATTAAAATTATTTTACTGGTATACGAGTCCGAAATTCAGTTAACCCATAAAGACAACAGATAGATTTCATTCACTTTTTAATTGAAGCCCATTTTAAGCCCACCATCACTGGATCAATTATCAATTAATCTCAATTTGTTCAAACCGCTATATATTTAACATTTACTGAATGTGATATAAAAGACAACACACATGATGAACCATTCTGCCTGCTTTTATTAACTGTTCCACTAAATGGCAAGAAAATCTAAATAACAAAGGGACAGCGTTTTTAGTGTCTTCTTTAAGACATAAAGTGGTCAATCTATAATGACACCTTAAATGAAATTTGCCAATCTTACTTTATCTCTACAGAAACTGTCGTTCTCACGCCAACGTCGACTAATCGAGCATGTCATAATGAGATTACAATTTTCCGACATTTCCTACATCCGTACCTATTTTACGTGCGAAATGGTACAGACAGTGGCATTTTGACAATGACTGCACTCAGATCAGGGCGACTTTTTTATTCACTAAAACTGTTATCTAGCGGCGATTTTTCCAGCAGCTCGAACCATTTTGATACACGATACTTAACAAAATAACTCAAATTAAAATTATACAACAAGTAAATAATAGAATGCAAAACCAGGTCATTAATATTTTACTAACAATGGCAATAAGACATTGGCACCAGGAAAGCCAGTCCATATCTGACATGAAAATAGAGGAAAAAAATAAGTTAAAAGCACAGGAGCTTTTTAAAAGCTTCAACAAAATATTGAAAGATGCACAAAAACAAATTTTCAAAAGAAAAATTATAAACACATGATGAAGATAATAATCCTATACATGAAATTTTCCTAGTTTGTCAATATAATATTCAAATTCTGTACTTCATAACAAAGGAAATATTAAATAAACTGGTCCTGTGTCTTCTAACATCTCTTTGCAGGGAAAACAATAACAGTTATGGCAATGATGAAAGTGGATTTTACTTCACCCCACGAGAGATGACAGTTTGTTCTTTTTTGCTCAGATTTAGGCAAAATACATGATACAATTTAACAACCTATCCTTCCCAACTCTTTATGCGAATAGTCCATCTTGATTCTAGGAAGCATCTAGAAGGTCGATCAATGTCATTAACGGTCACATAAGATAATCTGTTCAATACCTGACCGCAACAAAGAGAAAAGTCAAAATTTATATACACCTCCAACATACGTATTTGTAAAAAGAAAAAAACTCCTTTTTATGCAGACAAACTATATACCCATTTCTGCATTTCAACATAAAAAAGTTGTTCACTCCTATCTTCGCCTTCTCAAAATATCTAAGACTGTACACGTTGAATACCATCCAAACCTTTCAATTTTCACGACACTGAATCTATCATTTTTTAAAATTGGGAAAAATGCAGACACATATTTGGCATAGCATTTTGATATAACCCCACTGCTGCAACCAAAATGGTGAACTAACATGTAATGCAATTATTAAGGTAAACTCTTTTCCCCCATTTACACTTTGCATAAAGACATAAAGCTCTTCTCCACATACCAAAACGGCAACAATAATGATGATGCTTATACTAATCATCATCAATAGATCCACATAATTATGTATATAGATGCCAGTACAATAATGAAAACCCTTGTATAATTGTACACATAATATATATATATATATATATATATATATATATATATATATATATATATATAGATTAATGTCCATATAGTTCCCATTTCAGTCCACAAATTCTAGATATGTGACAGGCACCATCCCCCTCTGAGAGCCCCTCTCTCCCATCATCCAGTCTGGATCCATTCCTGGCACACTATACACTGTGATCACCTGAAATACAAGGCACATATATGTACTATATGCTGTGTCACTTTGTGGTAAAACTGGTTATGGGTGGTTGGGTGGGCGTGGAGGACATATTTTACAATTATTAAGATAAGGGATATATGGGTTGTCCAAATTTTTTGGAAAAAACAACACAATTCTAAATGAGAGAATAAAATTTTCATTAACAATGAAGATGTGCAATAATAACCTTTACCTAAGTAAAATTTGTCTTTTTTTTTTGCTTTGGTCTATTCGAATCAATTAGTCAACCAGCTAGCCAATCAACCCACCCTTCCATCAGAAAATCATCATTACTGTTCACATTTACCTCATCTGCTAAGAGAGACAACTCCTTGCTTCCAGCAGCATCGTAATCATACAGGGCTTTGGCTTTCCTGGCACCAGAGGGTGCTCCATTACCAGCAGGTGGCGCTGATGGCTGTGGAAAGCTTTCATATGCAGGAGGGCGAATGTCTGTCGGTAAACCACCTTGGGGATTGTTGGGGCTTGTGGAGTAACTGGAAAAAGAAAGGTTATGGAAAGTGTAATTACTGTTTTGATCATTACATTGGGAACTTTGATGATTCAAGACTTAAACAGGGAAAAAAAAAAAAAAAAAAAAAAAAAAAAA